AAACCCTTTTAATTTTCCCAGTACTTCAAGGATGATGGGTTTTTAACTTGGACTTTTATTTTTATATACTCCATTTTAATGTGCTATTATTGTTTTGTGGGCTGCCTTGAGACCCATTTTGGGTAAAGACAGGGTTAAAATGTTTTAAATAAATAAATAGCAAACCCCTTCCTTTCTTCTTAATCAAGTAATGCTCCCGTCAGAGTCGCCAGATAGTCAGAATTGCATTAGCTGAGTTTGAATTTCATTCTGTGCAATCTAGGCAAGTGGATAGAGTGAAAGGACAGGAAGAAAGACAGAAAAAAGTTAATTCATGGTGTTTCTGTACTTTCAATAACAAGTATTGAAATAGATATTCCTTCTCTTCTCTCCTCATCCACAAACCATACAATGGTGCTATTTGGTGGAGAGTTTTCTGTACATGTCCCAAGTGCTTTGCCTTCGCATGATTTATTTTCCTCTGGGACAGCAGCTTCTTTAATGCCGAGTCTTTTCTTGTGTTTTGATTTTTAGAGCTTCTAGCCACACACCTTTAAACAGTTCAGTCATGACAGCTTGTGGTTTCTCGTCTTTTGCGCAGACACATTTTTTTTTTAAATTATGAAGTTGGTACTGCATGTCCTGTCTTCCTGGAGGGGGCGTGCACCCGTATCTCTTATATATGCATTAGGTCACACTTGACCTTTCTTTCTCTTTCTTGGGTGTTAAGGTCACCCTCAAAGGATTGAGAGAGAAAAGTCACAAAGTCCCCCTTCCCTCGAAGCTGTTGCAACTACCCCTGCAAACAGGAGCTTCATTCTTCAGCAAAACGTTCCTCTTTCTCCAAATGCAGACCTCCATGCAACCATCCCCTACCTGGTACCTTATAGATGTCTTAAGACTACAATTCCCAGCATCCCCCAACCTGCATGTCTGGGCAGGCAGAGCCTGTGTTAAAATCCTAAGAACATCTTGCCAAGGTTGGATCCAAGCTTTGCCATGCTTATTTATTTACAGAAATGCATTTAATACAAAATTAAATTTCTACTCTTCCTATTAGTCCAGCTGGCTCTCTGGGCAGGTTGGAAAACATAATAAAATAACAAAAATATACACAATCAACAATATTAAATTAGCCATACAGAGTACCACAATACATAATAAGAATAAAAACACAGGAAAAACTCCACAATAAAACCACACACTAAGCTCAGATGATGTAACCAAAGGCAAAAGCACAATAGCATTAGAATCAATAAATGCCATGTAAAATCATTTAAAATTATGGCAGTTATTAAAATATTGGGTAAATATAAAGGTCTTCATCTGGCACCAGAAAGTGCATAAAAAGGGCACCAGGTGAGCCTCTTTGGGAAGCTGATGCCAGAGTTGGAGTACCACCACAGAAAGGCCCCTTCTCCTAATAGCAACCCTCTTTCTTTTGGAGGGGACTCTTGGAAGGACCTCAGATGACCATCTTAGCATCCGGGGAGGCACATATGGGAAGCGGTGCTCCTTTAGATAACCTGGTCCCAAGCCAATCAGGGCTTTCAGGATTAACACTTTGAATTTGAACTGGGCCCAGATTTCAACTGGTAGCCACTGAAGTTGACCGAGGACGGCAATTACATGTTCATATTGGCCAGTCCTCATCAGCAGCCTTGCTGTGCTATTCTGGACCAAATGAAGTTTCCGGGCCATCTTCAAAGGCAGCCCCATGCAAAGAGCATTACAATAATCCAGACAAGAGGTTACCAGAGCATGAATGACTGTTGCTCGGTTCTGCCTGTCCAGTTGCAAGTTATTTATTCATATACAGTGGTACTTTGGCTCACGAACTTAATGCGTTCCAAGACTCTGGTCGTGACCCAGACTGGTTGTGAGCCAAGTTAAATTTCCTATAAAATTCAATGCAAATAAGGTTAATCCGTTCTGTAACTATTTTTTTAATCAGAAAAATGTAAAGCAAAGTGGCAGAATAATAAAGATCGAGGCCATCTCCTCCCCCACACCCTGAGCATGAGCGCGACCATCTCCCCACCCCCCCAGCATGATCGCAATCGTGCCCGTCATCCCTGCAGACTGGGGGGGGGGAGACGGGCATGAACGCGGGCGTGCTGGTGGGGAGAGACAGGCGTGAATGCAGGCATGCTGAGCGGGGGAGAGGCCAGTGCGCATGCGGGCGCACTTGGAGAGGGGAGCCAGGCGCGATCGTGCTGGGCCGGGGGAGATGGCGGAGATCACGGCTGCGCTCCTGCAGGAAAGACAGGAGCAATCTCAGCCACCCCCCCACCCCCCAGCATGATCACAGCCATCTCCCCACTCAGGGGGTGGGGAGGGAGATGAATGCGATCGTGCTCGCCACCCAACGTGGAGTTTACCACCTGAGTCAAGGTTTTTATGAAATTTTTGTTCGCGACCCGATTTGGTCATGAACTGAAACGTTCGTGAGCCAAGGTCCCACTGTATTTAATACCACCCCCCACTTTTCTCCAGCAAAAAGGAGCCAAAGGGCTCTACAAAATATAGAAACAGGAAAAAGAACAAGCAAGCTCGAAGCAGCAGTGGGAACAGGGCCTCCGACCATGCAGCCGTCAACACAGGGAGTCGAGTGCACGGCGAATGAGGAATGTTTCCACTCGCAGGTGGAACACAGGTAAAGAGGAAGGTGCTCTGAACTCTTGGGGCAGAGTTCGTTACGCAGGGCTCTACCCTGAGAACACGCTTTGCCATATTGCCTTTAATGCTGCCCCCTCTGAAGTGGAGGGGTGTCATTTTGCATGCAAGACTGAATGGCCCTTTGAGTAACCAGATCCCAGACCTTTCCGCTCATTAGAGAGAACCATCCTGGGACCGGCAAGCAGTGCAGCTGACACAGCGAATGGGTCCCGGGAGTTTGCTCCACTTGGGCGCTTATGGCATCGGCATTTATACCACTTCAAGTTTCCACATGGTTTTCAGGGGTGGCTCCAGCCACCGATATAACCACGATGTAAGCAAGCTGTGCAAGACTTCTTGCACTGCAATTATATCCTACCTTTTTCCTCTTGCAGGGACCCCAAGGTGGCTTATGTAGCTCTGTTTCATCCTTCCAACAGCATCCCTGTGAGGTAGGCTAGGCTCAGAGTGGCCCAAAGGCACCCAGTTAGCTTCATGGCCAAGTGGAGACTGGAATCCAGACCTCCCAGGTCCCCAGTCCAACCCTCTAACCACCACACCACACTGGCTCTCCAATATTTATTATTTATTTTCCGATTTATATCCTGCCTTTTTCCTACAAAGGGCTCAAGGCAGCTTACATCAATCTCCTCCTCCATCTTTTCCCCACAACAACAACCCTGTGAGGTAGGCTGGGCTGAGAGTCTGTGACTGGCCCAAAGTCACCCAGTTGGCTCCATGGCTGAGCGGGGACTCGAACCCAGATCGTCTGAGTCCCGGTCCCATGCTCTTAACCACCACACCACACTGGCTCTCCAACATGAACTTCCCAAAGGCTTAACTTTTCCATAAACGCCACCAAAGCCAACAAGCCTTCATGAATCCTAATATGCTGCATTTTTAGAGCACAAATCAGGAAGTCCTCAGTTCAAATCTTGCTTCTCTCATGAACCCAGCCGGGCTCAAAGATAGCCCCATTTTCCTATCCTCATCCACTTCAGATGCAATATGGGGGAAATTTAAGACTGCTCTGCTTTGCAGGGTTGTTGTGTGTTGTGCTTTGTTGTTCAGCCCCAAAGTTGTGCCTGGCTCTTTGCAACCCCATGGACAACATTTCTCCAGGTATGTTGTGCTTTACCTACTCCCAAATCACCATCTAATACCTGCTAAGGATTCAGGAACCCCAGTTAAATCATAACAAGGGTTCATCCAGGCCAACACCGTTTCACTCAGGAGCCAGCCAGCCGCCCCAAAGGGTAACCTAGAAGCAGGTCAGCACCCTTACACCCATGTTGCACAGCAACCGGTGTACATGGGCTTACTGTCTTTGATACAGGAGGCAGCAAAGAGCATAAGGACTAACAAGTCTAGCTAGCCTTCTCCCCCACGAATTAATCCAGTCCCCCTTTAAAGCCATCCAAATCGGCCATCAGACTTCTTGTGGAGGTGAGTTCCATAGTTTAACTCTACCATGTGCAAAGAAGGACCTCCTTTTATTTGTACCGAAGGGCCCCACTGGATTCTGTCTCATGAAAAGAGGGAGGAAAATGTCTCCTTATCCCGCAATTTCCCCAGTGTTTTGCCACGTGTTTAAGGGAGATCATTTTAAGGCTCGGGCATGCTGGGAATTGCAAGCCGTGTTTCCTATCTAACCTCGCATCGGTTGCGCCCTTCGTTGCGCTTCGGCAACTCTCTCCTTGAAAAGCCTCGTTGCAACCACAAGGCACGCCTGAACATCGGGCAGCAATGCCGGGCACGATCCAGCGCAGGGTGCGCGGGGCAGACAAGGACTGCCGGGGGTCGCGCTCCTCCGTGCCCTTTATTATTTAGAATTTCTGCATGCCGTCCCATCGCATAAGCTTACATACAATAAATGCACATAATACGAATCGTGCAAATAAGATCCAGATTCACCCTGGCTGCAAATTAATTCCCCTGCCCTGCCCTGCCCTCGGGCTGCGGTGGGCCGCCGCGTCCCCCGCGCGGGCGGCCCCTCGCCCCGCACCCGCGCGGAGGCCGCCGCCGCTCGTCACCCGTGCCCCCACGGCGGCGCTTGCGTTTGCGCCGCCGCCGCGCGCCCAGCGCGACCTTTCCGCGGCGCTGCCCGCGCCCCCACGAGCGCACGTG